CGAAATAAAAACGTTAAATGCATATCTTGATTACGTAGAGCTGCGTTGAGTCTTGTAGAAGAAGGATTCTCTTGTATACCACCACAAAGCTTTATCAGGTGAATAGTCCTTTTGAAATTAATCTATACATCTCAGTTGATCAGTGTTGCCATCATATACATTTTTACAAAAGTAGATAAGTTCTTCTATATCAGAGACCGGCGAGACGGGACGAGATACGGGACAAAAGGTCACGGGATGCGAGATAGATGGGACTTAATGCCTCTCCCGCTTACTTTCATTAATAGAAAAAAAACACAAATAACCGTCCATGTTGTGCATTACAATAGCCATTGATTTTATGTCACAAGAGTAGAACAATAGTTATTCAAGCGGTCGACTCTTGTATGAACACACATTGACGGCCAATTTGAATTGAATGAGATGAATAATGACAAAAGAGAAAAGAAAATTATCATAATATAATTCGTCTAACATAGAAAATGATATAAATAGTTACGTATTGATACAATTGTTCATTCTGTTTCATTTTATCACAATTGTTGATTTCGAAAGTTGCTCTTTTCAATTCGTATTTATACATAGATTCTATGCCAAGCAAACTCGATGGTCGTAGCTATTCTCCACGTTCTCGTACTATTTCATCTTCATCAGACATTACTCTCGTCTCTCTCACTTCAACACCTATGTGTACTTCAAGTCATACAACTTATTCTTGTGTACAAATTGAGAGTCTCCTCAAGAGAGAGAAAGATCGTTTTGTCGTTATGAAAAATAAAAATAAAAAACTGACGTCTGCCTGTTAACAAGTATTTGGATTTCCCGCAATTGTTAGTTCTAATGGGGTCCTTCAGAACGCATTGACAAATTTGTTTTTTGCCGGACTTTCTACAAGACTTATCCATTCACGTCCAACAGTACTCGCTTTCTACTCGATCATCTATGTAACTCGTCTAAATCTACCGATGCATCAAATACACTTCCTTCAATACCCTCCTCGCTTTTGGTTTTACAACGATCTATCACTGCTTTTACAACACCAAAGAAGAGTAAACTGAATGATATAACTAAAAATAAAATAAAAGAACTAGAAGCACGCTGGATCTGCAAAGATATGCGTCTCATTACAGTTGTCGATGATCCCGATTTTCGCTGACTTGCTCAAGAATTTGTTTCTATTGGTAAGCTAATTCTTATTAGAATAAACACCATGTCGTTTTCAATTCTTCTAGGTACTCAGCATGGTAATGTTGATGTGGACAAAATTCTTCGTGGAGCCAAGGCAATCTCGTTACATATTAGTGACCTTGCTACGACTGAACGCTCTCGAATAAGAACGCTTCTGATTAATCCCTTAGAGAACGGTACGCTTTGTTTATGTCCAGATTTATGGACTGATAAACATCGGCAAATGCATTATTTGAGAATTACTGCTTCTTTCGTCGATGACATGTACGGCTTATATAAGATCGATTTATGCTGTCATCCTTTTCCACCAGTCGCAAAGACGGCCGAGAACATTATCACTGTAAGTTTCTATTTATTTCTGTGTTAGTTTATCTATAAAATATTTTGGATTAGGTTCTTCAATCTGCTCTCGAGCCTTTCGGTATTATCGATCTTTCACAAGTTTTTTTCGTATCAGATCGTGGTTCAAATTTCGTTGAGGCTTTAACAAATTTTTTTGTAATTTGGTGTTTTGCACATCGACTGAATAATATGCTCAAGTTACGTTTTTTTTACAGCAGCCACAAAGGAAGACAAGCGAAAGGCTATAGACAACATGCAATTGTCGGATGATTCCGACGAATATTTTGATTCGGTCATTAAGTCAGATTGTGACCAAGATCTGCCAAAGAAGGCGCATTATGTCCACAAAGTCGTATTTGAATGCAAAGTATTAGTAAAATACGGATGTAGGTGTGGGTGCTCAAGCACTTTGAGAATAAGCAAAACACCCACACCCTATAAACTTATAAGAGCTTGAGTTTCACACTTTAGTCTCTAATAGCACTACAGTAACATTTTTTTATCTAAGGTTTTTTCAAGATTTTACAAAATGCTGAAAAACTTGCAAAGTTTCTGAAAGATACATGGAAGATCGATCAAGGATTCCTTGTTCACTTTTTTCAAGCTGAAGAATTTCAAAAACTATCTAATCTTTCGATAAATTACTTTGGAAATTGAAAAAAAATCTCTCAATAACCTTTCGGTTACTAAGTCGACAATATCAACAACATAAGTTGCCTACAATACCTTTAAAATTTCCGAAAATGCTAATCCAGTTTCTGGTAGTAACATAAAGGTATTCTGAAATACTCATAGATTATGAAAGTCTGCATACTCGAAAATTGAAAAGTTTCCAAAAACTTCGAAAGCTAAAAATGTATCTGCAATAATAATTTATCTTACTCAAACACTTATAGGGTTGCTCGAGGGTTGTGTAATAAGTATGATTTTTCTACGAGACATTTTTTTGTGTGCACTCTACTGTATATAAAACATTATGATTTCCATTTTTTAAATTTCAATACCAACGCCAGATATAATTAACAATCGCATCGATTCACTTAGTTGCCTCTCAAAAGTGTCTTCATGTATTTATCATAATGCAAGCATGTTCTACGCACGACTAAACTTTGGAAAATACGTCAGTTGTCTGGCGACTAACGTCAATGCTTTCTGCTACGTCGTTTTCTTAGATGACAATCATCCTTAGGTGTTTCTATATAATCTTGCTCTATATGAAAGCTCAACAAAACGAATAGAGAATTTATTATAATAAGATAGCTGTATTTACATACAAAGTTATTACGGATTAAAACTCAAGATGCAAATAGATATAAAACAAACCATTGGCGATACCAATAACACTCAACAAAATACTTCTGTTCGACTAATTAATGAATTGGTGAGATTTAATATTTTACTTGGATTTGGAGTGCCATCGTTCATTTGTTATATTTTCATCCTTATTTACATACTCACTCATAAAACTCATCGTTCAGCACCTAATAATTATTGTCTTCTCATTATCTTAATTCTTCAGTTTTCTTGTAATATATTGGATATTCCATCACAGATGTATTTTTATTGGCAAGGCAGAGTACTTATTCAGAGTAGTATCTATTGCTATATGTGGCAATTTATCGATTATTGTACTTGGACAATCAGCCTGATGTTACTGGCATGGGCTTCATTTGAACGGCATATTCTGATTTTTCATGATCGACTTCTTCGTTCAAAACGGGGAAATATATGTTTGCATTATGCACCACCTTTTATAATTATTGGCTACGGTATATGTTACTATATCTATGGCTTTGCTTATTATAGATGCAAAAATCCATTTCTATTTGACAAGAATTTTTGCAATGGTCCCTGTTACTCTAATTACCAATCTATGATGTTATGGAACAGAGTGGTTAATTATATACTTCCTTCAATATGTACTGCTATATTTAGTGTTACACTTTTAGTTCGTGTAATATACTCGAAGCGTCGTTTTCAGGGAGCGTTTAACTGGCGAAAGTACAGTAAAATGACTTATCAAATGGTATCTATATCATTTCTCAGTATTGCAACTATCATGCCGTATAGTATCAGCGGCTTCTTAAATCATATTCGTCCCTCTACTATACCAAGTCAGACAGGGAATCTTTTCGCATTCATAGCTGTTTTAGAATCTCTATGTATACCATTTGTATATTTGACGTCAGTATCAGAAATCTGGACATTAATTAAAACAAAAATCTGTCGTGCAACTACTCGACGAACGACTCCAACAGCCTTCACAACAACAAAAATAAACACGCTTTAGCTAGTCATTGTATCTTTGGTGAAATTTGCTTATGTAATAATAAATGATGATATACTATTATTCTCATTCTTGAAAGAATCTCGAAGAATTCTATAAAAACGGACTACTGTCGAATTTTATGAATATTTTGTGTCCGACATCTTGTTATATGATTTATTTCCGAGATTTTCATAACCATATTGACTCGAACTACATCAAATTCTAGCTCATCAAATATATCTGAGTTGTTCCGTGTAAGACAGCCCATTCTCCATTAAGAACGATGGAATGTTCTCAAACTTTTGTTCTAGATAGAGGAATTGACAGGCTACAATTTTTTATAATTTGAGTTAAGATGATAGTGAAAATCTTTGAAACAAGACATAAAAAAATGTCAATCACAAGGCGACCATGACGAGAAGTTACAATCTCAATGAATCTTATGTGGATAGATGACTCCAAGAGGATGTGGACGAGTGTGTGCGTGTGAGCTGTGGATGTGGGTGATTACAGTAGAGTAAGCAACACCACACCCACGCTTACACCCCAAAATCTTTATAATTGAATGTGGATGTGAATGTGAAATAGGACTGACTGTGGAAGGGTGTGTCGGTGTAGGATCCAAGAAAACACCCACACTCTACTTACAGCCTAACGTTATAAACATGCTCTATGATACTTACAGATTTTTTTTTGTTGTCCTTCTACTAACGAGGGAACATATTTGAGTGTACTCACGCCAAGAGGGATATAAAACATTCTATCCTATAGGACTACCCATGAGTATTTCGGATAGGAACAGGATGTGGGTGTGGGTGTGGGTGTGTGCGGATGTGGGTGTGAGTGTGGGTGTGGTTCTTCACTGTGCGGACAGGCATACCTACACCCAATCACCCACACCCACACCAAATGTGCCCGCGCACTTCGTGACATATTGATGCAAGACACATTACACATTGAAAATGGTAATGAATATGAACCAGTTTATCGTCATTCAACAGATGAACAAACTAAACCTGAATCATAGACACCGACGTATTATTGGGTTGATGCAAAAGTCTCCGCCGATTTTTTAAAAATTTTCTTAAAGCTCTCTAGCGCTACTATGCATTCGTGATTTTCATACATATGATACCGCTTGTGTCGTACTATAGGATGACATTGGTAAATGTCCCAGTTTATTTACATTCTTCATTAAAACATGTCAGAGATTCCTATTCATATTCGACACTGGATTTTGTATGAGTTCCAATTAGGGAACAATGCAAGTGCTGCTGCCCGCAATATATGTGCTGCACTTGGTGAAGGTGCTGTTGCTGATCGAACGTGTCGTGATTGGTTTAAAAGATTTCGTGAAGGTGACATGTCATTAGAAGATCGTCCGAGATCTGGACGTCCTATCGAATCTGATATTGAACGATTAAAGGTCCTGATCGAAGACAATCCACGATTAACCACTCGTGAATTGTCAGCAATACTCGGGTGCAACCAAACCACCATCGATCGCCATTTGCATGAAATGGGAAAAGTTAATAAACTTGGAACATGTGTTCCACATCAACTAACCTCGGACAACATACAGCAGAGAATCACCATATGCAATTCTTTGTTGTCAAAACGCAACCGACATAGATTTCTTCAGCAGATAGTCACTGGTGATGAAAAGTGGGTTCTATATGTCAACCATACGCGCAAGCGCCAGTGGGTAAATCCTGAAGATTTGCCCGAACCAGAACCAAAAAACGACCTGCACCCAAAAAAGGTGATGCTATCGATTTGGTGGGATTACGAAGGGATAATCTACTGGGAACTTCTACCTCCTAATACTACGATAGACTCGAAGCTTTACTACCAACAACTTCAAAATTTGAAGGTTGCTCTACAGGTAAATCGTCCAGAAAGACGAAAAATTCGATTGCTTCATGATAATGCAAAACCTCATGTCTCAAAAGTTACCCGCCAGAAGCTGGAAGAATTAGAGTGGGAGGTCTTACCACATCCACCATATTCACCAGATTTGGCACCATCCGACTACCATTTGTTTCGATCGCTTCGCAATCATCTGGTCAAAAAACACTTCGATGATCAAGCCCACCTAAAATCGGACCTCGAAACTTTTTTTTTGTCTTTGTCTAAGAAATTCTTTGAAGATGGTATTCTGGATTTGCCTAAAAGATGGGCGTATGTAGTAGATAGCAACGGTGTATATGTTGCTGATTGATGATATTTTGTTTCGATAAAATTTTGAAATCGAGAAGAAGAAAAAAATCGGCGGAGACTTTTGCATCAACCCGATAGTTGTTTTTACATGTGACTTGAAATCGAAGCAAATAAACGTGTAGGGCTTAAGAGCCTTGAAAAAATAATTTGTTGATGATTGCAGCCTTTCAATGATGAAGAAAATAATTCGCCCATATTTCATAGTAAATAAGTGAATCAAATCAAATGTGAAGCTTGCAGAGTAAATGATATATTTTTTTCTACTTTATTTGCTTTTGAGTTATTTTGTGCTTATCTCAATTGCGTATATAAGTGAATATTGACCAGGTGTTTTAGGTTGCATTAAATAATATTTCGAAAATAGAACGATGCAAGTTTCGTGGCAATATCTTCTTGTTATTTCGCTTTTTACCATAGTTTATGGTCAATTAGATACGAAGAATGTTCGATCAATATCTAGTGGACTTTCATTTGGAATGTGTCATGGTTATTGTCAACGATCAATCAATATAACATCAAATCCAATAAAATTAATTGCATCAAAAGAACCAAACTTTGATCAAAAACTTTTTCCTCCAGTTAAACAAGAATTTCCATTTTCAACAAATCAATATGAAGAACTTATTTCTCTCGTTGACTTGAATACATTTACAACATTGCTTGATACATATGGATGTCCTGGCTGTGCTGACGGTGGAATCGAATGGATTCAAGTTGATTGGACAGATGGTACTAAACGCGTAACATTCGAAAGCAGACGTTTAGTCAAAGGAATTGAAGGACTTGTTGTGAAACTTCGAGAAATGAGAGAAGAATATGTTGCTCAACTTTAAAAACTGAAAAATTCTAATTAAAAAAGACAAATTAATAAAATCTAAAAGTTCCGAAAATTTTTCTTATTGATTCTTCCGAATAATAAACAGTTTAAGCATGAAAAAGAACAATTTAATTAATATACCAAACCTTTTGAAAAATTCATGTACTTCGCACCATGTGTTTTATTCTAAGCGTGAAATAATAACATTTTGAAAAACAGTAACATTTGATCTTATTATTTACTTCGAACACTAACTGAAGGGAATGACATATTACTTTATCATCATCATTTCATGATATTTCTACGTGTAACGGTTCTTCTTGCCATTACACGATTTTATTTCGTCGACAAATTTTCTAGTAGTGGCATCATCGAACGTTGAATGAGACATTTCGTTTTATTTATCTAAACCAAACTAGACTAAATCTTTTGTTAACTTCAAACATATGATGTCTTTGAAGAGGAAGAATATTATTAGACAGGTATCAACTTCTACTTTTGTGTGTAAGTGCATATTTTTATTGTTTCATGTTAATTGAAATTTTCATTAAAACAAAATATAAAACCTTATAGCTTCACTACTATTCTTGTTGATAATTTTAATTGAACTAGTTCACTACTCGAGGCGTATTTATGCTCATCATATATCATTAAGATTAACGATAAGAAATAAGCCATAGATAAAAATGCAGTGAAATGTAAAAATCATTGGTCATAGCACAATTTTGACAATGATAAACATACATCACTAATGGAAAAGCGAAAGTGAATTACATCTTTATCTGATGAATAGTGCGCTAGACAAATTTTCAATTGATTTAGTTCGGCATGAGAATCAATCACATTATTATTTGCGTTTGGAAAAGGCAAGCAGACAGATATATAGTTTATCTTGCAGTTGAGCATGGATCTAGCAACCATGATGCTTTTCAAATTTGCTAAAGAATCCCATCAAATGGTAATGACTTCAAATTGTAGCTAGATTCTATACTATAAGAAAAAAGATTCGCTCCTTTAAAAATTCAAATCCATTCAGAAACTCTTAGATTTTTGAAAATACCAATTTCGATACTCGCGAGGTATTTTGGAAAATCAGTTTTAAAAAAAAAATCATGCAGATATCTGAAATGATATCTAGGAACACTTCCCATTTTCCAACTAACAGGTGATGCAAATGTTTCTGCACAAATATCTCTCCTTTTCTCATATACCAGAACATATTTTCGAACAATGACAGATAGCTAGTCAGAATCAGCGTCGAAAAAACTTTCTAACTGTGTGTTCAAAAATCATTCTATCATGTCTCAGCTTGGAGTAATGAGCACATCTTTCACCGACACAAAAAAGTAGTCTGTCAAGGAAAATCAGGTCCATATTCTTTGATTTTCTCTTACTTTCTCGGTGTTCGGATTTGTTGTGATTGTGTATTACCAACTTCAGAGCTTCAACATATTTACGTTATTGGTATCCCAGATTATTTGTAGGCGCCATTTGGTTTGTTTTGATAAAATGGCCCCGGTCAAATCTCGAAAAAGCCCAATCAGTATCAGCACTATTGTCACGCTCAATTTTCATGATATTTTGTAGACTTTTCTTTTACAATATACTATTTAAAGTAATGTCGTAGTATTTTTGAGCAGTTCGCACAGAGTTCAACGGTGAATCTAATGAAAAAAAAGCAGCAAAATAGGATGAAACGAATGAGAGAAAATCAAAAAATATGGACCTGATTTTCCTTTATAGACTACATTTTTATGTCAGTGGAAGATGTGATCGTTTTTTCCAAGTTAAGACATAATAGAATGATTTTTGAACGCACAGTTAGAAAGCTCTTTCGACGTCAATTTTGACTAGGTGTTTTTTTTTCATTTTTTCAAAATATTTTTTATTACATGAGAAAAGGAGAGACCTTTGTAGAGGAACTTTTGCATCACTCGTTAGATTACGGTCTTGGGGCACTATCAGATCGGACTATTGGATCTCTTATAGGATCTGATCAAATTTGAACACTATGGACTTCAATGTCATTCTTTTTCACGGATTTCTATCGATTTTCATATTATCCCATTGGTTTCTAGCAGAACATCGATCAGATCCGAAAAGATTTATCCCATGTATAATGATATTGGTTCGTTTGAGTGTCAAATTCATATTGCTTATTTGTCTTAACAAAAAGAAATAAGAAAGTCAACCGAATATCAAGTCTTTATGAATTCGTATCTGATCGAATCGAAATATTTGGATTGAATGCGTATCAACCATTTTTCAGTAATAAAAAGAAGAATCAATCTGGATGTGGGTGAGTATAAAGACAAGTGTCTACACCCATACCCACACTCAAGAATTTCATGCATTTGTTTCATTTCTAGTATTAATGTTCATAAAAAAAAGATCTTTTTTTACGAGAAGTAAAGATGAAAAACAGGAAGAACTTCAATCAACAAATTAGCTAGAATTGCACAAGTTTTATATCTATTGCTTTTTTATTCCTATAACACAAGATGTGACAAGTCGATAAGAAGATTTCATAAATTGATCAGCTTATCATTGTATCGTTCACAAAGAATATTCATACGATTTTGTATCGTTGTTTTGAACATTGAGCATCTTTGCATTCATACCCACACCCTCATACCACAACTTCGATTAATTTTCAATATGCGCATATGAATCATAAATATGATCAAATTGACTAGATTTAATCTACCTCTAAATGCCGCTTTTTTCACGAGGCTGCTTCTTTTTTTACTTATACTTATTTCCAAGTGATTTTTTCCAGGAAGTCAAACATGTCAATCGATGAATTTCATCTGATAGCTGCACTCTTAAATCAATGATCATACTAGCGAATGAATAAGCTGTCTTGTGTGAAAAAGTTTCATTACCTATTGCATTTGAAATTTTGGGGCGTTTTTCCAATGCAGTGAATTATTCTACATCATTAAAATATTTCCGCTAGAAGTTCTGGAATTCTCTACTATGTTATCTATCAAAGAATGAAATTTTTATCTTTGATTACCATGACCAAAAAGTAATTTAATGAAAGATCCGATTGAAAATGCTCTGCATATGTAATCGATAGGCCTCTTACATGTAAAATAGTCCTATGACAAGCCATGTTAAACAATTCTTAGTCCAATAATGCTGAACATCAAATATACTTAGGTACTGAGTGATACTGTAGTTTGCGAGTTTTGTTCGGTGTATTTGTAACTGATTTGGCGTTGAGAGAATTATCTTGCTGTCGTCTGACTTACGTATGCTTATCTGAATCAATGAAACACGGCATTTTCATTCGGTGAGCAGTTTTCTTTCAAGAATACGCCCATCATCACATATATTTCGTTCATTCAATGTTCGTCCTATTCTTTGTCTTTCTTTGCATCTCATGTGGTGTGGATGTCGGTATTGGTCTCAAATGATGACTTACACTCTTTCTTTGCTGTATTGAATAGCATATAGTAATAGGACAAAATATTCTTCGTTTCCTATTACTTTTCGATGCCAACGTTCACTTTCATATAAAAAATAAGGGTACTCATGACGAAACTACCTCAGTATTGAGCTGTGAAAGGAGCGGTGTACATTGATTTACATACTATTCTATATCTCTTTCGCAACTCTACAAAATGCTAATATTCGAAAATATCAACAATTCCACTTTTTGATCGATAATTACCCGAATTTAACCTTAATAGTTAAACTTATAACTATAACAAATGAAATATTTAAAATCAGTATAGAAAACTGAGTCGATCTATATATGTCATAAAATGATCGATTAACTTTCGTGTTCTTTGGAAAACACAGCCCTGATCTCTCCGCTGCATATATTGCAAAAATGAATGCAATCGGCACGTTAATGTAGCTATGAAAAGACAATTGTAAACTTTTATAAAGCTAGAAAAACGAGGTCTTGGTTGAATTTAATTTTTTGACATATAAATGTGGGTGTAGGTGCAGATATACGTGTTGTTGTCTGGTTCAACTAAATTAACACCCACAGCCACAGTCACACTCTCAAACGACACATTCACTCTCAACCAACCTTTACTGATTACATCATTTCATGGAGCGCACAATAGAACATTGAAAACGGTAATAAAAATGAAGTACAATAAAACGAGATGAAAAAAAGAAAAGCATATAGACTTATCTCACTTAAGTCAACGCAAGAGCAAATATTTGGTTATGGACTCTATAATTTCAAGTAATATACGACTAGTGACTTATCAAGCTTCACAATATTATACAACTGTAAGAGCATTTATAATATGAGAATGTTTAATATACCGCATAAAAATTTTTGCTTTTCGTGCTACAGGATTAGAAGTTCGATATTGATGCATCACTTTACTATTCTTTTTGATTTTATGTGATTATAATCAGTACATAAATGGGTACTTGTCAATCGAAAAAATCGGTGACTATTGAAAATATCGTATCAACAGAAAACATTTTGAATGACGAGTCAAGTAAATCTCCTGTTCAAACTGAACCATCGGCGGCCTGCTATATGACGACGACATCACCTTCCACTGGAAATTTTCGAGAAATTCAACGACGTAATGTCGAAGAGTTAATTGTTATCTGGCTCGATGCTTCAGATGATACGAACAGTAAACACGCGGAAAGATTACAGAGCACTCTTCGAAATATCGCCAACGGTGTTGAGATATTTTCAAATTCGATCACATGTCAAACATTTATCCAAACAGTCAAAGATGAAAGAATCTTTCTTATTATTTCCGGAACATTAGAATCCACGTTCATTACACAAATTCATCCTGCAAGACAAGTTGACAGTATTTATCTTTATAGTGTTGACAAAGAAAAATATGAACATTTAGCGCATAATTTCATGAAGATTAGAGGTATCTTTACCGAGACATCATCGTTGTATGAAAACCTACTCAAGGATATGAAGAAAAGTGAATACTCACTCATTGGCTTTGATATTGTATCTAAATCTGCTAATATAATGCAATCATCTTCCAATGCGAGGACAAATACACA